ACAAACCGTCCACTGTCCCTGCGGACAGCGATGATCCTTAGGAGGATGTGTTGAGGGAAGCTTGATTGACTTTGCACCATAGCACCGGCACCTCGTGCCATGCTATGTTAGCTGTGTCAAGCAACATTCACAAAAAAAACACACAGTGTGACAAGAAGGCACACAGTGATTAGACTGCAGCAAAAGCAGGCAAGGTTCCAACCCCTGTGCCGACGGATTGCTCCATATCCCGAGTCATCACTGCTGGCATGCAAACAGCGCGCATCAACCTCTCCAGATGCCGTGAGGCATTGAATAGACACCTCTTGAACGGATCCGCTGGTTACATTTTCTAGAACCATTATTTTGGTTCTCCGTGTCAGTTGGTTCTTGAAGTGGGTCAAGGCTGAAATCCTGCCACTCCCGAGGTTTTGGCGCTTTGCACCCATAGATGAGTCGTCCTTGCAACTGCAAGCAGAAAGATCCTTAGCTTCCAACACATCTAAACATGGCATGTCCTAGGTGTTAGTTTTCATGTTGACGTGTTTGATGGATTGAGAAAGGTGTGCAGTACAATCCAAATTCTGGTTCAACCAAAGAATCCAAGTCAACGTCTGGTATTTGGCATCCAAAAAGATTTGCGGGGTGCCGGAGGCACCTTGCCCTTGCCTGCCAATCAGCCCTCTCCAGAATTGTCTGAATCTCATCAATTCCTCCATGGCGGTTTGGTGGACAGGAAAGTTTGGAGAAGCTCTTTTGAGACCATCAAATTCTGACTTATTAACGTGGAAGGTGACAATGCTGAAAGACACTCCAAGAAAAAGTCCTGAAGCAGCTCTCAGCTGTTGACGGGTAGAGGAATCAACTGCAGCCAGAACCTGGAAAATCATAACGCACACAAGCTTAACATGGAATTCCGCATCGTTGCACAGGACAAAAACAAGATTAGCACTTCTCTATCTCATTCTATCTCAACATGGACTCTTACAACAGCCCAGGCACGTCGGGGAAAACACAATGATGCTTAAAGAAGCGGTCATTGAGCAAGCCTTTTTGGACGGATGTGTCCACATCGCAACACGATACCTAAGCGGGCTGTAGAACTAAAAGGCAACAGGAAATTGCCCCGTTCTTTGTTGAAAGACATCCACAACACTATCAACCCACAACAAACATGGTTGCCGCAAAAAGCTATCTTCCATGTTGCAATGATAAGATCGACAAGCTGCAAAGTGGAACTTGACCTCCATCCCCAGGTTCGAGAGAATTGCAGCTGCACGCGAGCTGGCATAAATCCTTTGTCAACAAGAGACCAACCCTCAACCTTGTCTCCGGGCACTAACATGGAACTCTGGATTGCAGTGCAATCCACGTTGTACTCAAAGTGATTTCGAGACCAAATACAGCATTTGTACATCAATAGTTATATAATGTTATATATATATAATGCGCATACATATATGTATACACATATATAATAGTTTAATATATATATATATATACAATATTTAACGTAGACTGATGTATACTATAGAGTGCCGCCAAGCCACCCAGAGAAGTGGGATGAGGTTCTCAAAGTGATTTTGCTCAATAGCACAGGATTCACGCTATGCAATCGTTTCAGTGCTTTGGCTTCTTCCTCCGCGATATGCAAAGCCTTCCTACCCCACTCCGCGGCTTCCACAATCGTTTGGCTTGGAGCTGTCCACATGTCTGCTTGCGCACGGTCGGCGGGCCACCCACTGATGTACTTGGATCCGTTTGCCAGCACACCAAAACCCGATGTGTGCCGGGGAACCTTGGTAGAACATCCAGGTTGTTTACAACAAAACATGGAGGCTGATTGGTGGTTCATATCCATGTTTATTGTGGTTGTTACGGCACTGCGCGCTGTATTTTGGGGAATGTGTTTGCAGTCAACATGGCGTTTGTCACATGTACCCGGGTTTGTTTAGGCTTTTTGGTGTGTGCACAGGAATTCTGGAGGACAAGTGACCACAGCTTCCACAGCAGTTTTCCTGTTCAATCTGCTCTTGGGTGAGCACGGAAAGTCCTGCAACATGTTTTCTTCAGCTCAACCACCTTCCAAACTAGAGCTTCTGTCCTGGAAGTCATTCACTGACACTGGTGACGCCGCCATGCCTGAACTATCCATGATGGCCTGTGTCAAAGCCAAAAAGGCTACTTCGTAATCGAACACTTCCATGTTCATGTGTTGCCGATGAAATAAATGTCCTAGTTCCATGTTAGTGGTTTTCATACACTGGGTGGAAGAGGGTGAAGTCGAAAGTGTCACCCTCGCTTTCGCATTCCACGTTCAAGATTTCCTGGCAGAAATTAAGAGATTTCCTCAGTTTTTGATCTCGCAATGGGGCATTCCACGTTCAGTGTGTGTGGACCTTGACTTGCAGTGGGGGTCACTTTTACCGCTAACACGGACCTGCTGGACGACTGCACAGAGCATTTAAACATATGCTTAGGAAAAAAAAATGATGGGGCATTCCAAGTTAGTCTGTGGGAGAGTAATTACTATTGAACTAAGGTAGCTACAACAGACATATGGATCCATTTCAGTCCAAAAATTACAGAGTTTGGTTTGGAATTGCACAAGGCTTCTTGGCTGCTCTTTCTTTGCATGCGATCGATAAAGGCATGCTATCTATAAAGGTGTTCTTTTGTAGCAAAGTATCATAGTAGCCGCTAGCCTCTTCCCTGGTCCCGAGAGGTTTGGTATCTTGGAACATTGTCAAAGAGCTATGTAAGATTATGTAAGTTTTTAAAACACGGAGTATGCTTTTGCCCATTGAACATGTTTGTGTGTGCACGTGTATTTCCGACTGCTTGCTATGAATCTGCCAATGATGCTCAAGGCACCAGCTACTGGCATTCTGAAAAGAGCATGGTATTGTGGTACCTCATTCTCTTCGTCGCCGACAGCTGCTCAGGCCGGAGGAACAACCTCCGATGTCCCACAACAGGACTGGAGCTGGTTCGGGATCCCCGGATGCAAAGGCAAGTAAACGAGCATATGTGAGTCAACAAGAGAAACCTCACTTTGAGTTGAAGACGCCCGAGCATGTAACTGTGGTCAGCCCGTTCCCTCAAAATGCCAAACATCAACTTGTTGCACTTTTTCCACCTAGACTCTAGACATTGCAGCTAGTTCTGTTTAATTATTTTTAGATACTAGTAACATCTAGTAACTAGTCGTTGGATTTTCCTCTCTATTCCCGCAGACAAGGTTCGGAGGATGGGGGGCCACACCGGCTCCAAAGGCAAGAGGGTCCATCCCATCTTCATGCAGCTGTTCTGACTGTAATTTTTGAACAAATGAAACATATGACCAAAGGCAATCACAGTTATCGTTTTTCTTTTTTTGAAACCACCGAAATAGCCAATAAGATGGATGGTGGGGTCAGCCAGGTCCATCACCACTACTTTTTCTCTTGTTTCTTGCTTTAGTCTGTGATGAGGGAAAGAGGAGTGGTTCCTAGTTTTTTAATGCCTGGCGACACAATCCTCCCAGATGAGCCTGTGGCGGTATTGCCCCTCGGATGGTCGGCACTTGGATATCAGGCGAGCCCTTGTGGTGGACGTTGGAAACTCGTGTTTCTCAAAACATAGAGTTTCACAGCCGACATGCTGATGGCGTGTAAGGTTGATAGTGTGACGTGTGTGTGTGTGTCACACGAGGAGTTTTTGTTACATGCAGGGGGACGGGTCACCAGCGATACTGCCCGTCCAACGAAGAGGGTATCGGTTGGTGCTGAAGCAGTGGAGGACCGCTCCACTGTGTACCTGCATTGAACGCAATGACTCCACTGGTTTCCCTTCCCGGTGTTGGTTTGTTTCCATGGTGTTTCTTCGCATGATATCCCCCAAAACAGGTTTCCTTTGCACGGTGTTGATTCAGTCTGGTAAGTAATCAGTAACTAGCTTTCTGAGTGCATTTGCAAACACTGTTGAAACATTCACCTCCGCGGACTCAGCCACCCTACGTTTCCCTCATCCACTTCTTCGTGGAACAGAGTTAACTGCAAACCCATTGTCTAAGTGTGTGCCGCTCTGTCGTCCCACTGGGTGCAGAGTGTGATCCTCTCGCAAGGGAGGCGCTGAAGCCACTCCGGACTACCGTTTTTCTGACTCGAAGTGCCGCCATCGTGGATTCTGGTTTGATGAATTTTGGCTTCACCCAATGAATTTCCTGCCACAACACTGCCGAGTTTACGGAGATTCGACAACCGCCGGGTTTACGGTCATATATATGTGCGACACACACACACACACACCCCACCTTGCACGCGAATTCACACTTTTATCCCACCCGCTATCTAGGGTAACAGAAGGAAATGGTACTCGATACACTTGTGTGTCGGTGCCTTTCCTTCTGTTTCTCCTGTCCTAGTCCTATCTACCCCGGCGGTTTAAGACTAATGTCCCGCTCGCTAACTAGTGCATTTAATGCATGCGGCTAAGTATTCAGTAACTAGAAGGTTTCGTAACTAGTGGGCCTCGTAATTACACCTATCTTTCTCTCTTGCCCTTTGCGTTTCTCTTTCTGTCTTTTCTTTCCCTTTCTTTCTAAGGCTTTTTAGGTGGTTAGTATTTTTCTCTCGAGCGCCGATATCGGCGCTCTGTGTGTGTCACACTCCGTCTCGAGGAGTTTTTGTTACATGCAGGGGGACGGGTCACCAGCGATACTGCCCGTCCAACGAAGAGGGTATCGGTTGGTGCTGAAGCAGTGGAGGACGCTCCAATGTGTACCTGCATTGAACGCAATGACTCCACTGGTTTCCCTTCCCGCTGTTGGTTTGTTTCCATGGCGGTTCTTCGCGTGATATCCCCCAAAACAGGCTTCCTTGCACGGCGTTAATTCAGTCTGCTAC